GCATGTTAAATATGTATAATGGTATTTACGTATTTTTACGTAACAAAAAGGTATATTTTTTCAACTTTATAAGATTAAGTATATTTTTTAAATTTTCATTAAAATTTAGGGTATTTCTCAAAATCCCCCTTTAAATTTTGAGTGGGAAGAAAAAAAATGAAAGTAGTCATTGATCATGAGAAGTAATTGAAAGTAGCCATTTTCTAAAATCATGAGTTTTAAGCTGCAAATGGAATATGAAGGGTACCGAAAAGACGAGTCCCGACCAAAGTCATGAAGAAAGTAGCAACTTTAATCCTAACCCATCTGTTTTATGTCCCACCAAAAAAACCAGATAGTTTCTTGTTTCTTTGTACTAGTTTCTGATCTCTAGAGTCATCAGAGAATCGTAATCCCGAATAATAATATTATAGATGTGACTCATATTGGTCTTTCCACCATTAAACCTCACAACAATCTAATCAAATCTCCACCACCATTGCTTTATAACGAAACCAACATCACAAAGCTCTCAAGATCCCTAAAGCAAAGTAGTGAGAATTAAGAGAAAAACGAGGATTACAATGGTGGATGAGAAAGTGATGATTGTTCATGAAGTTGAGACAAGAGACGCTTATAGAGTTGCGTACGTGATCCATTTCTTGTTGGGTGCTGGTAGTTTGATCCCATGGAATGCTTTGATCACAGCCGTTGATTACTTTGGCTACTTGTATCCAGACAAGCATGTAGAAAAGACTTTCACCGTGGCTTACATGAGTTGCTCGGTCTTGGTTCTGGTTCTATTGATGACTTGGAACACAAGGCTGAGCTATAGATTGAAGATGAACTTAGGGTTTTCCATGTTCATCATCTCCATGATGGTTTCGCCGATTATCGATTGGGTTTGGAAAGGTGAAAAGAGCGAGAATGTTTCTTACCGCTTGGTGGTTGGATCAGTCGTGCTCTGTGGTTTAGCTGATGGTTTGGTCGGAGGAAGTTTGATCGGTTTAGCCGGAAAGCTTCCTAGACAGTATATGCAAGCAATTTTTTCAGGCACTGCCTCTTCAGGTATATAAAACTCTTTGATTCTAATTGAAATGAACGTTAGTCTTTATTCAAAGCTTATTAGTGTCGCTCTGTTTTTGCTAGGTATAATCATCTGCATCCTTAGGATTACGACTAAAGCTTCGCTTCCACAAACACCGGAAGGGCTAAGAACCAGTGCTCATTGCTACTTCATAGTTAGCTCCACGATCCTACTCTGCTGCTTCATTTGTTGTAACGTGCTATACAAGTTACCAATAATGCAACAACACCTCAAGTTTCATCAGCCTTTGCATTCAACTTTGACAATATGGGTGGAAATTGGGAGGAAGATCAAGTGGCCAGCTTCGGGTATTCTAATGATCTATACCGTTACCTTATCGATATTTCCAGGGTTTATAGCTGAGAATTTGAAGTCCCAAGTTCTCCAAAGTTGGTATCCAATTCTGCTCATCACGGTGTACAACATTTCCGATTTCGTAGGTAAGTCACTCACTGCTCTGTATCTATGGCAGAGTATAAAATCCGCGACATGGGCTTGTATCGTTAGGCTTCTCTTTTATCCTCTCTTCTCTGCTTGTTTGCATGGACCGCATTGGCTAAGAACAGAAGTTCCAGTGGTTGTTCTGACGTTCATGCTTGGTCTAACCAACGGCTATCTCACTAGCGTTCTTATGATCATGGCTCCTAAATCGGTTCATGCATCAGAAGCAGAACTTGCAGCTGTCTTTATGGTTGTTTTTCTAGGATTAGGTCTTGTTTGTGGCTCAGTTCTTGGTTGGGTCTGGCTCATCTAAACTTTGTTATTGTGTGCGTTTAAATGTTTCGTTGTGTCCTTATTCGTAGAATATTTTTATCAGTCGACTTGATAAAATAGTTAAATTTTATTTCACTCTATATATATCTAAAAAAAAAAAAATATACCCTACACGTAACGCTACCATGGCACTCGCTGGAAATTGTCATGTTCTCTATTC